GAGAGAGAGAGAGAGAGAGAGAGAGAGAGAGAGAGAGAGAGAGAGAGAGAGAGAGAGAGAGAGAGAGACTGCAGCGGCTGCTCAAATGTGCAAAACGAGAGTGAATCTTCCCTGCGAACATGGAAAGATGCACCGTGATGATTTTTGTCTTCTGTGCATGTCTGGGGATCTCTCTCTCTCTCTCTCTCTCTCTCTCTCTCTCTCTCTCTCTCTCACGGAGAGATTCGTGCTTTCTTTTTTTTTTTCTTTTTTCTTTTTTTTTCTTTTTTTTTTTAAACAAACGACCGGACGTTGGCTTGCCCGACCCCTGAAAGTCACGACGCATTAACGGCCGCGACCATTGCCAGAGATGAGCGACCATGGTGCAGCCCACTACAGTCTTCCCCCGAATACAACGCACGGTCATTATAGCTGAATTTAGACTGAAAGATACACCAAATTCAGTTATAATGACTTTGCGTTGTATTCAGGGGAAGACTGTAGGCAGTGTTCGAGTGTAGCTCATTTCTTGGGGGAGGGCCCACTGCAGCAGGTGCAGAGTCGAGACAGCACACCCCGGTCTTCCAAATTTGTTCTAGACACAATCCAGTCTGGGTTAGGAGGACACCTGTGGACGATCTGCCACTTCAGTGCCCGCAGGTTTGTAGGTCGTATGGCGGAGTATGAGGCCCATCTGATTGTGTCCAGGTCTTCTGACCACGGGAATTTTTTGTCTGACTGACGGATGGTCATGGTCCCAGCAGATGACAATTTTTCGTGCACTCGCATGGGCTGGAGAGGCGATGCTCCCCTCTCGGCCAGCTTTGCTGGCTGTTCAGGGCAATTACACTTCACGTCTTTCTCTAGAACTGAAGGCATCCTCTCACATTAGGGTTTTTTTCACTAATAATTTCTGGCCGTGGTTGCAGTACGATAGATGAAGTCTGGCCGTCGTTGGGGTCACATTTGGGCTGGGAAAGTTACCAGTACGAGTATGGACCTCGCTCCAGTACTCTCCAAATGTGCAAATGACACTGAATTTTCCCCTAGAACGCGGAAGGGTACATTGCCATATTTTTTGTATTTTCTGCATGTGCAGAGTATTGGATTGGAGTGAGGCCTTATGTTCAGCATGTTCTTTCTTTTTGAGGAATATAATCATTCATCATCGACCTGACCGGCCCAAGGTACCTTTCAGAATGTCATTCGTCCCGTTCAGACAGGATTCAAACTCAGGGGCGATCGAGCTCATGGGCAGGATCCCACAGTCGATCATGAACAGTTCATGGGTGTGTAATTCGGCCACATGGGTACCGAATGTGTGTTCCTTTTTTATTTTTATTTTTCTATTCCGACAATAGCCACGTGCTAAATGTATTCGACAGACCAAACACTTGCAGTCGAAGTCGACAAGGACGTGAAGTATGAGGATTGCATTCAACGCCTGAATCGGGACGTGTTTTTATCAGCACGTGCAGAAGTGAGCTGTTTTTTCTGCATCTCTGTCAAATTCGATCCAGATTCGGGCGCCTACTCCAATCCTCTTTTTTTTTTTTTTTTTTTTTTTTCAACTCCAATCCTCTTTTGGTAACCTCGGCCCGGGGCGAGGTCCCACTAGCAAAGAGGATTGGATTAAGCTCCCGAATGTGGACGTGTTTTACGACGAGATGCTGAAAAGCAGTTGAATGTCGATTTCCTGCATCTTTCCGTCATCCTCGTCCGGATTCACGCGCTCAATCCAATTCTCTTTGCTATGCTAGTAGGACCTACCGGTAGCCCCCGGCCGTGGGCCGACGCACCACTTGGGGAGGTTTACCTCTGGTTTAGCTCTGGTGTACAGAATTTTTGGACGTGGTCCCATCTGTGGCCGTTAGATTTTGAGATCGGATGGCAGGGACCCATGAATATTCGAAACCAGAACTAAGGGTCAGATCTCACTACCCTGAATTATTTATTTTTCACCCTCGATTACGAAGATCAACGGTCAGAAATGAACAATAGGGGCTAGTGGGATCTGGCCCTAAACGTCCTCAAGTCGGGCACAAACCTTTCTGAAAACAAAAATAAAATCGGGCACGAACCGGAGCTACTGTAGGTCCCACTACAGTCTTCCCCCGAACATAACGCACCCTAAAAATGAATGTATACAAGCTATATTTCCGGCCACTTACAGCCAAAATTAGGGTGCGTTGTGTTCGGGGGAAGACGGTAGCAAAGAGAATTGGTTTGAACTAAACCTCCTCAAGTCGGGTACGAACCCGGGGCTACCGTAGGTCCCTCATGACGTGCCCGTGGAAAGATGCAGAGAATCGAGATTGGACTGTTTTTCTGCATTTGTTCGCAAAAGACGTCCAGATTCAAGCTTAATCCAATCCTCTTTGCCAGTGGGACGTTGCCCCCAGGTGCCCGAAGTTCCGCGGTGTGGTTGATTTTTTTTTTTTTTTTTTGGGAAAATGGTTGATTTTCTGACTGGTGTGGTCGGCCGTGAGAGGTGTCCGTGCTCCAGCTCCAGTTTTCGGAACTCGACGCTTTTTGGCGCGCATACGTGGCGGCCTACCGGTCGCGCAGAGGACATTTCGCACCCAACATGTGGGCCTCGCCCCACCAGTACCGACACGCAGAAAAGACAAAAAATATGGCAATTAAGAAAATAAAAGTGAAAAAATATGGCAAAGTATCCTTCCAAGTTTTAGCGCAGGATTCAGTCGCATTTTGCACATTTCGAGACTGGTGGAGCGAGGCCCTGTGTTCGAGTTTGGGAACGCGAAAATGCTCTTGCTCTTTGGCGCGCGAACTTGCTGGCCTTGGCCTACCGCGGCGCTATTGGCGCGGTCTCGCTGTGAGGTTGTTTTGGAATATGGAATAAAACGTGGTGCCCTGAACAATCTCGAAGGCTACGTAGTTGTGTTGTTGGTTGTTGTAGCGGCGAGTGTAGCGGAAGAACTATTGCTCCTGGCGCTGTGTTCCGCCGGCGGGGCAGGTAGGCTTCTTTTTCGGCGCGGACGGCCTGTGTGGGATGCCCGCGCGCGCAATAAACAGAGACGTCATCTGCTCTTGTCGGCACGGTGCACAGCACGTCCTCAGTGTCTTTTTGTTGCAGGTGGTGTTGGCAACGGTGTGCCGCTGGCGGATCGCAGCTCTCTGCTTCTGCTGAGGTTGACATCCGGGGAGTGGGGAGTTCGCGTGGGATAGGGAGCGATTAACTTCTACTGTTTACCAGAGAAAGCTATAGTGTAGTGTATGGCCATGCTCGTACCAGCTCGTCTCGGCCAGACCTGGAGGTAGCTGACCGAAATTTTACGTCCTGTGCGCAGTCAGTCGAAGGAGTCCTGGTGCGAGTACGCCCTAAATCACGAGTCGCTTCGACTGGGCTCGTGTGAGGGCGGGATTGATCGGCGTAGGAGAGCAGTGGGAGGGTGGAGGCAGGCAGCGGCGTAACTGAAGAGACGGGGAGGACGATCTCGATTATCTGATCGATTTAGCAATTGACTGACAAGCGTAAGCGATTCTCGGTTGAGTGATTAAAAAAACCAGATCGGCTGTTTTGGTAATTCGGGAGTCTTTTCTCTTCGTTTCGCTGCGCTGTCGAGGCGACGACGGAGTGATTGGGCGCGGTACAGAGAAGAAGAGTGATTACTTGAGGTGGTGGTTCGTCGAGGGATTGGGAGGTTGTAGAGGAGGAAAGTGCATGGGCGAGTGCTTGACTTGATTGCTTGAGTGCATTGGGCAGTGAGGGCTTGCGTGCATTGGGCAGTGAGGGCTTGCGTGCATTGGGCGTGAAATTGGGCAGAGTGAGGGAAAGGAGGAGGAGTAGGAGGTGACGGGAGGGAGGGAGAAGTTGAGAGGAGAGGGAAAGAGGAGAAGTGACAGGAGTTTGAATTCCACAAGCTACTCGCAATGTCGGATATGGCGGACCTGGACGAGATCGCAGAGGATATCTCCTTCCAAGCCTTTGACGATGACTGCCGATTATTGGGGTCATTGCTAGATGAATGTCTCAGGTCGGAGGTCGGTGAAGAGTTCATGGCCAAAGTCGACCGTATACGTGTCCTAGCGCAGGTATGTCATCATCCCCATCCCCATCAAGACCGAGGGGTACCTTTTTCCCCCGAATACAAGGCAAAAGGCATCTTGATTGTGAATGTATTCAAGTTTCTTTCCCGCTCCGATGCAGTCGTCATGAGGGTGCTTTGTGTTGGCGGAAAGACGATCGTGATATGACACTCTCACTATCGTACGTGCTTAGGAAATTATAATTATACCACCTTCCCCCTCCGATTAGAGCGCACCCTGATCGGGAAAATATGCAAGCTGTCTTTCCGATTCCGGTCCGTTACAGTCATGATGACTGTGAGCTGTGCTGCGGGGAAGAGGATAGCTTGCTCACATTTTCAGCATACTTTTTTTGACGACTAAAGCTTACGAATACTCTTCAAAACTGCTTAGTTCCTGTCCAAGGGGTGTGGTCAAGTCAACTGCTCCCTGGCATGGTCAAGTCAATTGCACCCTGGCAAGATGTAAGTTACGGCAGGAACTGCGTTCCTTTCAACTCGCTTTGTCGGCCTATCCTCTTCTCCCACCCTCCCTCCCTCCCTCCCTCAACTCATCACTCTTCTCTCGGTTTTCTGCACCTCTTACCCGCGATGTCTCCGTCTGCACTGGTTTTTGTTTCTCTGCTGCTTCTTCCTTTCGCGCGAAGTCGTCACCCTGTTCCCCTCCTTTCCTCTACCCTTCATCTTGCTTTCGCTCGTGCGTTGCAGATTGTATGCCACCGACGGTTTCCTGCGCCTTGGGCTCCTCTGTCGCCCTCTCTCTTCTTCACTGCTCCAACCTTCCTCCCTCTGATGCACGCACGTTTTGGTAACCTGGCAGGACTCTCTCTCTCTCTCTCTCTCTCTCTCTCTCTCTCTCTCTCTCTCTCTCTCTCTGTCTCTCTCTCTGTCTCTCTCTCTGTCTCTCTCTCTCTCTCTCTCTCTCTCTCTCTCTCTCTCTCTCTCTCTCTCTCTCCGTCTCTCTGTTCTGTTCGTGTATCCCTTGTCCGGATTGTCTCTCACATGTCGGAAGAACTGTTGTTGCACAGCACGTAGTTGGCGTCTGAACTTGACATCCCTCCTAGGTCTTCTCTTTCTCTCTCGTTCCACGACTATGTGATTCCTTGTTTCGATTGTCTCACGGGTCGAAAGAACTGCTGGACAGCACATCGTTGGCGTGTTAGCTGGACACCCCTCGTCGGTTCTCCATACCACAGTTACCGATCATCACTGGATCGAACGCGACGAGCTTTCGCTACTGTACTTGTGATTTTTTTGTTTACGTATCATGAACGATGTAGTTGTCGCTCGAGATGTAATTGTCGTTTACGATGTCGATTTGTCGCCCACTGCATGCCTCTTATCGCACATTTTTACGATCTGTACTTCTGCGTTAATTTGATTGGTATTGGGGTTGGTTTGCAAACGCGGTGGAGGTATTAGGGGACAGGGAGGAGATCTGGGTAGTTTGTCGTGTAAAGGGTTCAGCGCCCTGATGAGCCGGTGAGACTTGTTAGAAAGGCTGTCACAGCCCCTCGCTTAATGGTCTCTTTTCTCTCTCTGCCTGGTGTTCGGCATGCAGTTCGCTACGACGATATTGATATGCAGGAGGCAGGAGTTATGCGGTATTAATAAATACGCATGTATATGCCGTAAGATCGTGTTGCCTACTCCCATTTGGTGCGGCATTCCTCTCTTTTGCGACGAAGATAGCCTCTATTTATAGTGAAGTGCTTCTGGTGGTTTTGCAGGTTGTAGAGTCTGGTTACCGGTTCGTCGATATCGATGGCTGTATCTCGGCAAAAAGAATGGACTCCGAGATGTTTGTTTTCAATGAGGACTTCCCTGTAAACACTTAGTTTTAGGGATCGATCGCACGTCGTTACGTCGGCGTAGTGTTTTTTTTCTTTCTTTTCTTTTGGAGTTCTGGTTACAGGTAGCAGCACCACCGAACGCCATCGAAAGGTCAATCGCACGTAGGGTCAAAATGCACAGGGCCAACTCTCTCGTCAAGGTGCAGTCTATAATGGAAACGAGGTTCATAATGGCGATGGCGCAGGACCAACTCTCTCTCGTAATGGAACCGAGGTTCACAATGGCATCGCCATTCATATATCCGAGTTGTAAAACTCGAGGGACGCGTATCTTCTTCCCCTGAATACAACGTAGGGTAGGGTCACTATAGCTGTGTTTGGGGTATTCCCTATCAAAATACTACCTTCTTCCCCCGAATACGTCCCCCACCCACCAACAACGAATGCTATTGAAATACTGCCTTCTTCCCCAGAATACATCCCCCACCCACCAATGATCGCCATCAATCGAAAGGCTACGTTCTTCCCCCGAATACGACGTAGGGTCACTATAGCTTTACTTGGGGAATTATTTAGTTTAAATACATCAACGTTGTATCCGGTGGTAGAAGGTAATCGCACGCACGTGGGGTTAAAACATGCAGGGGAAACTCCATGAAGGGGAAGAGTCTAACGGAACGGAGTTCACAACGGCATCCCTTCTGTGAGATGTGTTCAGAGTTGTGGAACTTCCTCGTGAAGTGTGCAGAGCTGAGAGGATCTCGTCGAGGGTTGATAACGATATACTACTACAGTAATAATTGTGTATCTGCATTTTCTGCTTGGTCGGTTTGCTGTACTGCACGTGATGTCATTCGGACATCCGTTAAAAATAGAACGATAATGAGAAGATTAGCATGGCCCCTGCAGGGCAAGGACGACAGGCATAAATCGAGAATGGTACGGCACGAGATCATTTGCGGTGATCGCGTCTCGATTGTGCATTAGACGCTGCCGTCTGAAAATGCTAATGCTGCCGTCGTTCTCCGAGTACGATCACTGTGCCTGTATTTGGGCCAACTTTCAGTCTCGATACGGCGATAATGACAGAACTTCTGTTCGGGAGAAGACGGTGGGGAGCGAGTGTGTATAGTTGGCAATGCGACCTGGCCATCGGATTGGTGTGGTCAGTCGGGCTTGAGAATCCGGAATATTGTTAGTCGACTGTTAACCGAAGGAAAGTCTCTGGTTACAAAAAAAAAAGAAGGAAAATCTCTGGTTATAAAAAATAAAAAAAAAGAAGGAAAATCTCTGGTTACAAAATGAAAAAGGAAAGGAAAATCTCTGGTTACGAAAAAAAAGAATATCTCTGGTTACAAAAAAAAAAAGAAAAAAAAAGAAAAACCAACCCTCTGGTGACCGATTTACGCGGATCGGCTGATTTGGCCTCGTATCGATTTGGTTCTTCGTTGGACCGTTGGTTCTCACCCATGAACCAGTTGGTTCCCCGGAGGACCTGCTGGCTGGCTCGCTGCCTAACCCGTCTGTTCGCGTCTTACGCTGGCTGTGGTTGATGAAGATCGATGCGAGGACGGCAGGAGACTTCAACTTTTTCACCTGACCACAGCGTACGCCGTACGGTCGTTATCGCTGTATCGAGACCGAAAGTTGCCCCAAACACACGATCCAGTTGGCGGACCATCGTAGTGGGCACCTCCTGTGTGAGAGGTATTTGCTCTGCTCCTGATATGCCAATGGAGGGGACGCGAAGGGAGATATCTGAGTGGCCCGAACTTACGAAAATACTTTCAGTATATTTTCCTATTGATAGTATCTTCATGCGGACAGATAGACCCCGCAGTGAACCAGGGTGACGTGTCCATTCCTCAGGGCTAAGGAGAATGAGGCTGACAGATCGATTCTCGAGTATGGTTGTCGGGCTACACTGCCTCAGTCCTAGACCGCTCCTTCTGTCGGATGGTTTCCGCGGGGGAGCAAATTGAGGATTAATACACACACACACACACACACATATACACACATGTGTATCCTGAATGACCAAAAAAGGTTAGAAGAGAGAGAGAGAGAGAGAGAGAGAGAGAGAGAGAGAGAGATGTATATCCTGAATGACCAAAAGAAGTTGAGAGAGAGAGAGATGTATATCCCGAATGACCAAAAGAAGTTGAGAGAGAGAGAGAGAGAGAGATGTATATCCCGAATGACCAAAAGAAGTTGAGAGAGAGAGAGAGAGAGAGAGAGATGGGTTTAGAGGCTGTGCCCAGGCAGGCAAGGGAGGAGGAACCCGTCAATTCAGTTTTTTCGTGGCTCAGCTAGTGGACATGCTATGCAACAAACACTGAGTGAGTGCTCCTGTAAAGTGAGGGCCCGGCTCTGTGCGTGAGCGTCCCTTCTGCGTCAGTGATGGTGCATGCTGGTTGTGGTTACTGCGGCCACAACGTAAGGGTCCAATGCATGAAGGGGTTATGGAGTGGTCTGCGTGGGTGTGGTCCTCCGGGTGAGGAATGAATTCATGCTGGTTTTGTGGTTACTACGGCCACGACGCAAGGGTCCTGTTCGTGAGGATCCTCTGAGGGAAAGGGTCCTGAGTGAGAGATCAGTGCATGCTGTTCGTGGGTAGCGGTCTGATGGCGCATTGAGGAGTTCAGGTACGTAGGTAGGTATTTAAAGCTGCGCATGCATTTCCCCCAATCAGTTAAGACTACGTATTGCTTACCTACGTATTGGGAGTAAGCCGTGTGTGAAATCCAACCTATGGATCTGGACGTCTCGGGAAAGCGCTCTGTATAGATCACGGCTGTAGGAGAAACGTTCTCCAGATGGGGTGTGTTGTCGATATTTCCTGCAGGCACCCTAGGCCAGTCTGATTTTTGCATCTATGTATTAAATGGGTTCGTCAGCCGGGATGTGTGTACGGTCCTGTTCTCGCAGGCTCTCTAGATCAGTTCGATTTTTTATTTTTTTTAAAGAGGGCGATGACCTTACGGTATTATCATCGGACTATCCAGCCCAGGTAAATTCAATCTTGTGTCTAATCTGTGTTTTTCATTTCTTGTTATTGCGTAGATTGACTCGTGTTCGCCCGGTCAGGCGACTACAGACTGCACGTCCGTCCCTCGTGCCGTGTGAATAATGCTACTCGTGTAATTGTCGATTAGCAGGTCTTCAGTTCGGATCCTGACAGGTGCAGTAGGGCTACCCTCCCTTTTCGTTTCGA